GGGCCGGGGGGGGCTGCGGTGCCCGCTCGTCTCGGCCTGGAGAGGCAGCGCGGGGCTGCGGTGGCCCCCGCCCCCGACAGGGATCTGGTTTCTGAATTCCCTGCCTCTGTCGGGTGGCCGCTGGCCTCCGCCTCGCTGCCTGCCCAGCCGCAGCCCCTGGCCACTGCTCCCCAACTTGGCTCCCTCTGAGGCCCAATCTCCAGCTGCCCCTGAATTCAGGATCTCGCCGTCCTTCGGCCAGGACCTGCCGAGGCCCTCTGGGCGGGACCCTCGCCCTCCCGGTCGCTGGCCGGGGCCTTCCTGGCTCACCCCCTCCGCCCCCAGGTGTTGCCCACCAACCCTGAGGAGAGCTGGCAGGTGTACAGCTCCGCCCAGGACAGCGAGGGCAGGTGCATCTGCACGGTGGTCGCCCCCCAGCAGACCATGTGCTCCCGGGACGCCCGCACGAAGCAGCTGAGGCAGCTGCTGGAGAAGGTGAGTGCACCCCAGTTCAGCGGGCCCCTCACGCAGGGTGGGAGGGCGCGGGCAGGGGGAGGGGCGGGGCGCAGGGTGGGCAGAGAGCAGGCAGGAAGGGGGAGCGGTGGGGAGATGGAGGTAGAGACTCCTCAGGGGTGGCCGGAGAATCGAGGCAGCCTCCTGGTCACTGAGGCCCCACTGAGGAGCCGCCTGGGCCCCCCCTCCTACACCCCCCCAGCTGCAGTTCAGAACACGGGGGCCTGTGGCCAGAGGGCCCCAGACTGTCCCCTGGCCGCCCTGGGGCCACAGAGCCCACAGGCCTTCCCACTTGGGCGGTCCCGGGCAGGAGGCAGGGCGGACGGTCCACCGCGGACGCCTGCTGGGGGCAGAGCTGCCCAGACCGCCCTGTGGCCACTGGGCCCAGCTGTGCCGGCAGAGACGCTTTGAATCCATCACCCGCCTGACGTCCCCAGAGTCTGTGGCACGGCGGAGTTCTCACCTGCGGCCAGAGCAGGAGCGTGGCCTGCAGCAGCCAGCAGGGGCCAGCACCCCCAGGCTACAGTGGGCAGGAGCACCCCACCCCCAGGAAAGGGCGTT